TAGGGAGTAAGGACGACAGCAATACATTATACAGCAATACAAAATAATATGAAGCTATACATTTTGTGTTGTTCTGGGTTGGCGCCCCGATGTCTCCAGGTGGTCTGTGCGGGCTCTCAGGTGGGCTGTGCAGATCTCAGCTGGCCCGTGCAGGCTCTCAGGTGGCCTGTGCGGGCTCTCAGGTGGCCTGTGCGACCCTCAGGTGGGCTGTGCGACCCTCAGGTGGGCTGTGCGCACTCTTAGGTGGGCTATGTGGCTCTCAGGTGGGCTGTGTGCACTCTTGGGTGGGCTATGCGGCTCTCAGGTGGGCTGTGTGCATGCTTAGGTGGGCCGTGTGCACTCTTGGGTGGGCTATGCGGCTCTCAGGTGGGCCGTGTGCACACTTGGGTGGGCTATGCGGCTCTCAGGTGGGCTGTGTGCACTCTTAGGTGGGCTGTGTTGCTCTCAGGTGGGTTCTGTGCACTATTAGGTGGGCTATGCAGCTCTCAGATGGGCTATGCGCACTCTTAGGTGGGCTATGCGGCTCTCAGGTGGGCTAAGCGTAAACTTGTTGCTGACACAAAGCTGCCCTTTGTTAGTGGTACATCATTGCATACTATTTTGGTACTGTTTAATGCACTAAAGCACCACATCCCCAACCACCCTATTGCAATAGCTGGTAATAAACTTAGGCAATCCCCTGTTTCATGTTTGGGAGGCCTAAAGGGAGAAATAGAGGTTTTTCACAGGCAGCTAGTAAGGGTGAGCAGGTTCTGTATCTGCAGGCCAAAGTGGTGGTTTTGAGGGGCAGAGTACTTCTGCCTTTCTTTTCCTGGCAGTGGATGTGCTTTAGAGCCAGTACATGTAGAGGAGGCAGTCAAATGGATTACTAAGCCTTCATCAACCTCCACCTCCCAGGCACAGAGTAACCCAATGTCATCAGCTGCTGCAAATGCACCCTCTACTTCCTCCGCTTCTACGTCTAATCCAGCTGTTGCCCTGAAAAATGTCAGAGGATTCAACTGAATTATTTGAGCACAACATCAGTAATGTGCTGCAAGAGGATACACAGGAACTAATTTTATCAGCTCTTGAAGTGAGCAGTAGGACAACAGCCAGGGAGAAGAAATTGCCAGTGATGTGCCAGTTTACTGCTTGAGTGATGAGGAGGGTGAGGACAATGAAGTGGCAGACTGTAGCTGGGTGTCAGAGATTGCAGGGGAGGAAAGTGATGGAGAGACACAACCTTAGCAAGGTAGGATGCCATTGGGGGATGTCAGGGTGCAGCCAAAAAATATACAATTTTTTCGCTTCTAGTAAAACATCATGAATGCCAATTCAGTTCTTTCAATGAATCACTCCAGCTTCAGAAGCTGTAGAGAAGCTGATGAAGCAGACCTCTGCTTCAACAGCTTCTCTGGGGGTCCCTAGATGACAGTAGGGTTCTTGGAGAGCCCTGATGTCTCCATAAAGAGGACCTGTCACATCTCTTTGCTATCATATATGAGATTTCTTCTGGGGTAAATGTGGAAAACAACTACCCGCCTGGTACTGCATGTCCCGGGCATTGGGAGATAGGAATTCCACACCCCTGCTGCCCCTCTACTCCCTGCTGCCCCAAGGCCGGGCCTTGGTTGGCCTTGTGGGAAATCCGGCCCTGATCACAGATGTGGAAATTAGGAACAACTTGGGCAACAGCGAGCGTAAAGTAATTTTGTAATGATTAAGCAGTCAGTTCCAGGAAACAGAGACATGTTGGTGTGACAAGAACACTAAATTTTAAAAAGGACAACTTTACTAAGCTGTGGTTCATACAATATGAGACCAAATGTGATCAATTCATCTTGACCAAGAACACTGAAGACAAGTGTGAGTGCTTTAGCCCTGGTTCACACCTAGGCGTATTGCATATGCGTGTCTGCTGCGCGTTTTTTTTAACCGTGATTCGTGATAAAAAAAACGTGCGACAATCGCTTGTTTCCGAGGGCTACTTGGCTGTATCCTAATGGAAACGCGCAACAAAAACAGCCCAAAGTAGTACATGTACCTTTTCAGGCGTGGGCCGGTTTTGTAGCGCGTTAGGGACGGGCTGAAATACGCCAAGGTGTGAACCAGACCCATTGAATACAATAGGATTTAGATGTTTGAGCGTTTTGTAGAGCGTTCGTCGAGCGTAGAACGCGCTACAAAACGTTCAGGTGTGAACGAGGGCTTAAGGTCATATTAACCAACTACTGCCATAATGTAAAAAACATCAGGGAGGTGGACAACCATTCCTGGAAGGACGTCTATGGTGAAATAATCCCTTCTCTCTCTAGGCCCTATCAATTCAGCAGGGGTCCAGGGAGAGAGGAGACTGTTTCACTATACATGGAAGCCTCCCTCACGCTGCCACAATGCGTCCCCACTCTTCCCTGCTGAATGGGGCAGGAGAGCTTAAGAACGCCGCGAGTCTTGACCCATTATTTGAGAAACAGGGCTATTGACCCCCCCCCCCTACATATAGTAAGAAGAGGAGACTTGGCTTCTCTCACAGATTGAAACATAATAGGGAAAGTTCAATTATCCCAACATTGATTGTGCAACAGGAGCCACACACTCACTGCAAGACACCAAATGGGACCAATTATTTCTAACAAAGAACAACAAGTGGGATTGTGTTAGGGATATACTAAACAATGTAATTTGCCGGGCATACATTTGGGCAACAAAAATGAAAGAATAGATAAAGCTGTGTCGCTGAATCTGATGGTAAAACAACATACCAAGAAAAACCTGGCATTTCAAAAATATAAGTCGCAAGGGACAACATAGGCATTCCAGTAAAAGCCCATTCTTTGCAGCTAAAATAGAATAAGAAAAACATGTTGCCACAATCAGCAAGAATCTCCCCCTCCCCCCCCAATCCTTCCAATATATAAACAGTAAAGAGGTAAGAAAAGAACAGGTGGGGCCCATAAAAGATGGGCATGGAAGGATGATCACAAATGACAGGGAGAAGGCAGGCAGTGGTATTAAATGCATTCTTACTCATGAAAAAGATGGGTGTAATGAATGAAACAAGAATGTGAGTAGCAATGTGCAGAATTCACTGCAGTGGATGACATAAGTCAGGGTTCAATACGGATTAGAAAAAAACTTGATGTGCATGAATCCCCAAGACCAGATAACTTACACCAATGGGTACTTACAAAGCTAAGACAAGTTATGGCGAGACCGTTGTTTTTGACTGGGCTGACTTCCCAGTCAGCCCAGTCAGAAACAACCGTCTGACTGGGTACTAACTGATTGGCGTCAAGTAACTGTTGTACCAATATTCAGAAAAGGTTTAAGATGTCTACCTCAGAACTAGAGACCAGTCAGCCTAACATCAATAGTATGCAAATTATTTGAGGGAATGATAAATTATTTTTCAAGAATTTGTCTATGGTAATGATATCACAAGTAACAAAAAGCATGGATTTATGACAGACCTTTCTTGTCAGATCAACCTATTAACATTCTTTGAGGAGGTGAGTAGCAACCTAGTTGGTGGAAGGCCAGTGGACATAATGTGCCTAGATTTTGCTAAAGCATTCAGTACTGTACCATGTAAACGCTTAATATGTAGGCTAAAATCTATGGGCATTGATGAAATGGTGTGTACATGGATAGAGAGAATGTAGCTGGGGGCTACAAGAACATGTCCAGAGAGTCTCAATAAATGGCTTGCTTTCTAAATGGTCTTAGGTTGGAAGTGGCGTGCCCCAGGGTTCTGTCTTAGGGCCAATACTGTTTGTTAATGATATTTGGGGGGGGGTATTAATAGCCCTACTTCCGTGTTTGCTGAATATACCAAAATACCATAAAGTAACTCACACTCCGTTTGTAGATAACAGTCAATCTCCTTTATTGACTGAATATAATGTCACATACACAAAGCAATGTTTCGGAACCAGGCAGTCCCTTCTTCAGGCAAACAACAGTGTAATAAAAGAGTGACTGTCACTTCACTTCGCTGTCACTTTCGGCAGCCCCCAGTTTTCGTTTGGGCTTTATCCGGTCAGGAGTGCGATGGAATCAACTAGGGCTGGTAATGATTACAATTTTCGTGTTCGATCAATGTACTACATTGGCCTATACACATACAGCACAGCAATGAAGTAATAAAATGAACAATGATCACACTAATCCAGCACGTTATTAATCTCACGTGCCCCACTCAATATGGCCGCCGCTTGAGTGGGGCAACTCAGAATAATAACGTGCTGGATTAGTGTGATCCTAGTTCATTTTATTACTTCATTGCTGTGCTATTTGTGTATAGGCCAATGCCTTGGCTGGCACTCGTGTAGAAAGTTTCTTGGGCAAACTCACCGGCCCAAGTGGCTCCGTCGGCTAAGGAAGGGGGATGTCACCGGACTCCTCACCTTTCCCTTCGTTAGCCGATAAAGCCACTTGGGGAAGGAGTCCGGTGACGTTGATGTCCGTGACGTCAACGGATCGCCGACAGGACTCCCGGAAGCCGGCGGCATTGGCAGTGCTATCCATGTACCTTAGTGTTAATTGTTAGTATTAGAAAGAGAATTTTAGAATCGAAGAGTGGTGCAATACTTTCAGGTACCCTGTCTTAAATAACAAGCAGCAAATTGTATTGTTAAATAACAAGCAGTCCAGTGACCTTTGTAGCAGCAGGCACTCTGGAGCAATTCATCCTCAAAATTCATAGCAGAAGTAATGAAGTCATTCTTTCAGCAGCTTAGCTAAGCTTCCCCCTTCCAGCAGTCAGGAGTCTTACAGTCTTTCAGGTTTTCCTTGCCACAGGTTCACTTCAAACCTTTATGAGGAACACCAGGTTTTTGCTTGGGGCAGCGGGCTGGTAACACTCAAGTTATAGGGCACATTATAATGTTCTGTTTTTAAAAAAAATGGAAATGAGAACAACTTCCTGAATCCAGATGCTGAATGCACAGATTGTCAGTGTAATAGATTTTTAACAGTTGGTCCTCCACATGTATTTTATGCATTCAAACTATAATATTCCTCAAAACCTTACCCAGAATCCATCCCCATTGCAGGGTCCAAGCATGGCTCTGTACAGAGGCTCTTGCAGTAAAGCGAAAACGGCACTAAGTAGTGATTGCAGGCCAGTGAGGGTGCCAAAATGACCAGATGGAAAACTAAAATATTAATAAAAAAAGAAATGGTAAATAAGATAAACACTATTTGCAATTTAAAAATTAAAGTTAAAAATAATCTAAAACAATTATGGAAAAACATATTCTGTTGCTTAGCTCAAACATGCTTTAACATGTGGCTGGTTATGTCATTTTTATCTTAATTTGCTAACAACTGGGTCATATACTGACATATGTCACACCATCAATTAAGGAAACTCAATTGGATTAAAAATGGTTGGTATGTAAGATAAAGGAATGCAGGCTCTGGTTCAAATTACTACACAAGGCCCTGTAAAACCACAGCACCATTAAAACACACAAACAGGGTCATTCTAGGTCCATTGACTGTTAAGACTCCTGTTACAATTATACTGTGAACAGAGTAAATCCGTTTTTAGGCCAATTTCTTTATGATTATGAAGAACTTTAATTTAAGACTGTTTTAGAACAATAAAACATTTATATTTGCTTTCACACAGCTGTCGTGAAACTACAAATCCGATCATGCATGTGCCTCTGGGATCATTTAACCTATTAATGTTAGCAGGGGAGAAATGTAACTTTATTACTGCAGTGTACTGGAAATGTGTACTATGGATCATTTAACCTGGTACACACTTCCAGTACACTGCAGTAATAGAGTTACAATTCTGCCCTGCTAACATGAATAGGTTAAATGATCCATAATACAACTACATGTTATGTACTATGGAACATGATTTAACCTATTCATGTTAGCAGGGGAGAATTGTAAATCTATTGCTGTAGTGTAGTGGAGGTGTGTGCTGTATATATGTACTACATATACAGTACACACTGCAGCAATAGATTTACAATTTTCCTCGACTAACATGAATGGGTTAAATGATCCGTAGTATTACAATTACATGTTATGTACTATTATGTACCATTCATATTAGCAGGGGATAATAGTAAATCTATTGCTGCAGTGTGTACTCTATATGTACCTAGTACATAAGAGTACACACTGCAGACAATAATTTACTATTTTCCCCTGCTAATACAATAAATCGTTCTTATGAGGTACCCCAGGACCTCACTCACTGTTAGTTGCATCGCTGGTGAGGTCGCGCTGTGCGGGAGAGCACCGGCGAGTCGGCGCTGGTCCGGTGGGAGGAGCTCCAGGTGGGGTCCTAATTTAGCTGCCCTGCGAATGCTCTCAGGTCCTCTGGACAGTTGCCGGTGTTCTGTCGACGCTGAGAACTCATCGACCTTGCGAACCTCTGACGTCGCATTCGGGTACTGCCAGTAGGTCAGCTACACAAAAGGACCTTCTGCGCATGTGTTGCCACTCACCGAGACTTACATCCCCACACTGCGCCTGCGTCCCTTTCTCACAGCCGTTAACTTCTCCAACTACACACAGCTCCTGTCCAGTTCAACTACCATGCACTGCGCTTGCGTGCCCTTCTCGTAGAGTTTGCGAACTATACACAAGCGCAGTGTATAGTTCGCAAACTCGACAAGAAGGGCACGCAAGCACAGTGCATGGTAGTTGAACTGGACAGGAGCTGTGTGTAGTTGGAGAAGTTACTGGCCGTGAGATAAGGACGCAGGCGCAGGGTGGGAATGTAAGGATCGGTGAGTGGCAAAGCATGCGCGGAAGGTCCTTAAGTGAAGCTGACCGACGGGCAGTACCCGGATGCGACGTCAGAGGTGCGCGCGGTCGATGTGTTCTCAGTGTCGACAGAACAGGACCCCACCTGGGAGCTCCTCCCACCGGACCAGCATGACAGACCTTTCTTGTCAGATCAACCTATTAACATTCTTTGAGGAGGTGAGTAGCAACCTAGTTGGTGGAAGGCCAGTGGACATAATGTGCCTAGATTTTGCTAAAGCATTCAGTACTGTACCATGTAAACGCTTAATATGTAGGCTAAAATCTATGGGCATTGATGAAATGGTGTGTACATGGATAGAGAGAATGTAGCTGGGGGCTACAAGAACATGTCCAGAGAGTCTCAATAAATGGCTTGCTTTCTAAATGGTCTTAGGTTGGAAGTGGCGTGCCCCAGGGTTCTGTCTTAGGGCCAATACTGTTTGTTAATGATATTTGGGGGGGGGTATTAATAGCCCTACTTCCGTGTTTGCTGAATATACCAAAATACCATAAAGTAACTCACACTCCGTTTGTAGATAACAGTCAATCTCCTTTATTGACTGAATATAATGTCACATACACAAAGCAATGTTTCGGAACCAGGCAGTCCCTTCTTCAGGCAAACAACAGTGTAATAAAAGAGTGACTGTCACTTCACTTCGCTGTCACTTTCGGCAGCCCCCAGTTTTCGTTTGGGCTTTATCCGGTCAGGAGTGCGATGGAATCAACTAGGGCTGGTAATGATTACAATTTTCGTGTTCGATCAATGTACTACATTGGCCTATACACATACAGCACAGCAATGAAGTAATAAAATGAACAATGATCACACTAATCCAGCACGTTATTAATCTCACGTGCCCCACTCAATATGGCCGCCGCTTGAGTGGGGCAACTCAGAATAATAACGTGCTGGATTAGTGTGATCCTAGTTCATTTTATTACTTCATTGCTGTGCTATTTGTGTATAGGCCAATGCCTTGGCTGGCACTCGTGTAGAAAGTTTCTTGGGCAAACTCACCGGCCCAAGTGGCTCCGTCGGCTAAGGAAGGGGGATGTCACCGGACTCCTCCCCTTTCCCTTCGTTAGCCGATAAAGCCACTTGGGGAAGGAGTCCGGTGACGTTGATGTCCGTGACGTCAACGGATCGCCGACAGGACTCCCGGAAGCCGGCGGCATTGGCAGTGCTATCCATGTACCTTAGTGTTAATTGTTAGTATTAGAAAGAGAATTTTAGAATCGAAGAGTGGTGCAATACTTTCAGGTACCCTGTCTTAAATAACAAGCAGCAAATTGTATTGTTAAATAACAAGCAGTCCAGTGACCTTTGTAGCAGCAGGCACTCTGGAGCAATTCATCCTCAAAATTCATAGCAGAAGTAATGAAGTCATTCTTTCAGCAGCTTAGCTAAGCTTCCCCCTTCCAGCAGTCAGGAGTCTTACAGTCTTTCAGGTTTTCCTTGCCACAGGTTCACTTCAAACCTTTATGAGGAACACCAGGTTTTTGCTTGGGGCAGCGGGCTGGTAACACTCAAGTTATAGGGCACATTATAATGTTCTGTTTTTAAAAAAAATGGAAATGAGAACAACTTCCTGAATCCAGATGCTGAATGCACAGATTGTCAGTGTAATAGATTTTTAACAGTTGGTCCTCCACATGTATTTTATGCATTCAAACTATAATATTCCTCAAAACCTTACCCAGAATCCATCCCCATTGCAGGGTCCAAGCATGGCTCTGTACAGAGGCTCTTGCAGTAAAGCGAAAACGGCACTAAGTAGTGATTGCAGGCCAGTGAGGGTGCCAAAATGACCAGATGGAAAACTAAAATATTAATAAAAAAAGAAATGGTAAATAAGATAAACACTATTTGCAATTTAAAAATTAAAGTTAAAAATAATCTAAAACAATTATGGAAAAACATATTCTGTTGCTTAGCTCAAACATGCTTTAACATGTGGCTGGTTATGTCATTTTTATCTTAATTTGCTAACAACTGGGTCATATACTGACATATGTCACACCATCAATTAAGGAAACTCAATTGGATTAAAAATGGTTGGTATGTAAGATAAAGGAATGCAGGCTCTGGTTCAAATTACTACACAAGGCCCTGTAAAACCACAGCACCATTAAAACACACAAACAGGGTCATTCTAGGTCCATTGACTGTTAAGACTCCTGTTACAATTATACTGTGAACAGAGTAAATCCGTTTTTAGGCCAATTTCTTTATGATTATGAAGAACTTTAATTTAAGACTGTTTTAGAACAATAAAACATTTATATTTGCTTTCACACAGCTGTCGTGAAACTACAAATCCGATCATGCATGTGCCTCTGGGATCATTTAACCTATTAATGTTAGCAGGGGAGAAATGTAACTTTATTACTGCAGTGTACTGGAAATGTGTACTATGGATCATTTAACCTGGTACACACTTCCAGTACACTGCAGTAATAGAGTTACAATTCTGCCCTGCTAACATGAATAGGTTAAATCATGTTCCATAGTACATAACATGTAGTTGTATTATGGATCATTTAACCTATTCATGTTAGCAGGGCAGAATTGTAACTCTATTACTGCAGTGTACTGGAAGTGTGTACCAGGTTAAATGATCCATAGTACACATTTCCAGTACACTGCAGTAATAGAGTTACAATTCTGCCCTGCTAACATGAATAGGTTAAATCATGTTCCATAGTACATAACATGTAGTTGTATTATGGATCATTTAACCTATTCATGTTAGCAGGGGAGAATTGTAAATCTATTGCTGCAGTGTGTACTCTATATGTACCTAGTACATAAGAGTACACACTGCAGACAATAATTTACTATTTTCCCCTGCTAATACAATAAATCGTTCTTATGAGGTACCCCAGGACCTCACTCACTGTTAGTTGCATCGCTGGTGAGGTCGCGCTGTGCGGGAGAGCACCGGCGAGTCGGCGCTGGTCCGGTGGGAGGAGCTCCAGGTGGGGTCCTAATTTAGCTGCCCTGCGAATGCTCTCAGGTCCTCTGGACAGTTGCCGGTGTTCTGTCGACGCTGAGAACTCATCGACCTTGCGAACCTCTGACGTCGCATTCGGGTACTGCCAGTAGGTCAGCTACACAAAAGGACCTTCTGCGCATGTGTTGCCACTCACCGAGACTTACATCCCCACACTGCGCCTGCGTCCCTTTCTCACAGCCGTTAACTTCTCCAACTACACACAGCTCCTGTCCAGTTCAACTACCATGCACTGCGCTTGCGTGCCCTTCTCGTAGAGTTTGCGAACTATACACAAGCGCAGTGTATAGTTCGCAAACTCGACAAGAAGGGCACGCAAGCACAGTGCATGGTAGTTGAACTGGACAGGAGCTGTGTGTAGTTGGAGAAGTTACTGGCCGTGAGATAAGGACGCAGGCGCAGGGTGGGAATGTAAGGATCGGTGAGTGGCAAAGCATGCGCGGAAGGTCCTTAAGTGAAGCTGACCGACGGGCAGTACCCGGATGCGACGTCAGAGGTGCGCGCGGTCGATGTGTTCTCAGTGTCGACAGAACAGGACCCCACCTGGGAGCTCCTCCCACCGGACCAGCGCCGACTCGCCGTTGCTCTCCCTGTAAGTTAAAAATCATAGTGCAAGCTTCGGCGCTATGTATCGGGGCATTTTGACAAGCACAAGTACTTGTCAAAATGTCATGTATCGGGCCCGATTCCGATGCTAGCATCGGTATCGGGACATCCCTAGTTTTGGGACATGGGCAATTCAACGATGAAGTCCAGGGATACAGTTTCCCAGGGCGTGTTAGGCACCGGAAGGTTGGTCAAGAGGCCGTAAGGACGACCTCTATCAGATTTGCAGGAAGCGCAAATCTCACAAGTGGAAACAAATTATCTGATGGTTTTGGTCATGTGGGGCCATCAAAAGTAACGTTGCACTAATTCGGTCGTTTTGGTCATACCAGGATGACCCGCAAGAGGGTTATCGTGCATCATTTTGAGGATAGCAACCTGCATAGAGGCGGGAATGAACAATTTACTGTCCTTGCGGAGGAACCCTTCTGAATCCTTCTCTAGATCCGGTGGAAGGGACACCCCAGGGGTGTACAACTCCTGCATACGCTGTTCTTTTAAAGCTGATCGTGGTAGCTATAAGTTTGTTTGGAGGTATAATGAAACTGACAGTATCGGAGGATGGAACGTTATACGGGATAAAGAATCAGCCTTCCCATTACGGGATCCAGGCCTGTACGTGATAAGAAAAAAAAAGCGGTTAAAGAAAAAACTCCATCGAACCTGGCGAGAGGACAGGGTCTTGTTAGTTTTCAAGTACTGGAGGTTCTGATGGTCGGTGTAGATAGTGATAGGGATTGAGGTACCCTCAAGGAGGTGGCACCATGTTTCTAGGGCACATTTGATGGCCAGCAGTTCCTCTTCTCCAACGGGATAATTCACTTCCGTTGGAGATAGGGTATGAGAAAAGAATGCTACAGGATGTATCGGAGTGAGTAAGGATTCCCTTTGGGAGAGTATTGCCCCGACCGACACTTGAGAGGCGTCAACTTCGAGTATATATGGTAATGATGGATCAGGAGACGGAGTATGGGTGCTGAAGTGAACAAGTGCTTCAGCTGGTCGAAGGCTTCTTGAGCTTGCTGGGTCCAGAGGTAAGGTTTTTTGGTACTGGTCAGTGAGGAAAAAGGTTTGACTATTAACAAGAAGTTTTTCACAAACTTCCGGTAGAAGTTAGCGAATCCCAGAAACCGTTGTAATACATTTCTACTTTTGGGGTTAGGCCATTTTAGGATACATTCCATTTTAGCCTGATCCATTTCAACTCCCTTGGGGGAGACTATGTACCCCAAGAATGGAATAGCATCCACCTCGAAGGTACACTTCTTTAACTTAGCGTAAAGCTTGTGTACCCTGAGTCGCGATAACACCCAACGTATGTGTTTCCTATGTTCAGAGAGATTTCTAATAGCACTTTCGGCAGTAAGTTGCAGATCCATGGCAAGTAGAAACTCCTCAAGAGACTCGAGGATAGGGTCCTCAGTATCCCCTGCAGGAAGCTGCAGGGGAGATTCCAGGGAATCCAGGAGAGGGGTTACAGCGTCCAGCTGATGAGGGAGGCAGTCAGGGGATCGCAGGGAAGGATCCCTGTGTGTGCATCCGATCCGTAGCAGCGGCGGCTGTGTGCGGTGGTTTGTGAGGCTGACCTCAGAGGAGGTCGGTTCCTGTGTCTCAGGTCGTAGGCGAGTTGCACTGGCTCGACGTTCGCAAACACTAGAACATCGAACTACTGCAACTCGCGTCATTTTAAGGAGAAGATCCTGAAGGGGGAGGAGCCGAGCGTGCCAGCCGACGCCTCGGTCTCCCAGCGACGTCACGCCGCTGATTTGAGAGGCCGGCCCGCGGCCCAAAACGACGGGCACGGGAGATCCCATTACATTGGCTTCCTGTTTGTCATCCTTTTGTTGGTATATAAATAAACGGAGCTACTGTGGTGGGGGGGAGGGGGTCAGATACTTGCACACAGATCTCCAGCAGAAGCAACCCTAGTCTTGTGTTGACTACATGACTCTATAGAAGTACCTCCAGTCCTTGCACGAAAGAGCCTTATACAACTGTGCTTTTAAGCGCAGTAGATTTCTATGCGCAGGAAGCGTATATGAATTTCCATAACTAAAGTTGACATATCAGTAAGAGTCACACTTCATATGAATCAATAGTACAAATACATGTCAGCATTACGAATAACATTCTATTTTTAATTTTTTTTAAATACGTAAAGTGCAGTAACCCGTCGCAACTGGTCGCGATCCGTGTCCATTCATCTTATTTCGATATGTGAAAATCCACCCAATGCATTATGACAAGTGGTGGGCTATGCATGAGTCTTGCAATGCATCATGGGACTTGTAGCTCCACCACAGTTAGAGAGCCAGAGTTTGCCCATTCCTGAAAATCCTCTACAGTTTAGGTCTCAAACTAGAACCAATGCACTGTAGACCTCAGAACAGAACCAACGCACTGTAGACCTCGGACCAGAACCACCGCAGGCAGACCTCGGACCAGAACCAAAGCATGGCAGACCTCGGACCAGAACCAATGCACAGCAGACCTCGGACCAGAACTAAGGCACGGCAGATCTCAGACCAGAGCCAAGGCACGGCAGACCTCAGACCAGAGCCAAGGCATGGCAGACCTCAGACCAGAGCCAAGGCATGGCAGACCTCAGACCAGAACCAAGGCACTGTAGACCTCAGACCAGAACCAAGGCACTGTAGACCTCAGACCAGAACCAAGGCACTGTAGACCTCAGACCAGAACCAAGGCACTGCAGGCCTCAGACCAGAACCAAGGGACTGCAGACCTCAGACCAGAGCCAAGGGACTGCAGACCTCAGACCAGAACCAACGCACGGCAGGCCTCAGAACAGAATCAAAGCACGGCAGACCTGAGACCAAAAGTAACACATGGCAGACCTCAGACGAAAACCAATGCATGGCGAACCTCAGACCAGAACCAATGCATGGCGAACCTCAGACCAGAACCAATGCATGGCGAACCTCAGACCAGAACCAATGCATGGCGAACCTCAGACAAGAACAAACATGTGGTAGACCTCAAGCCAGAACAAACTCATTGCAGACCTCAAGCCTCATGTGTCCGATGCATCAATGCACTGAATATGTATTGATGCATGCCCTTGGACTGCACAAAGAAAAGATCTGATGTGACAACACACGTGCGGAACTGCAAACTACGGAAGCTGCTTATCTGGAGTCTTTGGTCAGCCTTGCATGTGATCCCAGCAAGGAGATAAAGGCA